GCGGAGAAGATGCCCTCCAAGCCGGGGCTGTCAGTGCTACCCTACAAGGAGGGTATTGATCTCCGTGGGCTGGATCCCCGCTGGGCACAAAACAGCGTGGCTCTGGGGCAGCTGGGTCTTGCTACGCCCGTGAGGGATGCTCAGGGCTCTCCTCCCCTGTCTATATGTCTGTCTGTCCCAGCGGCTCTGGCCAGACTAAGCTCAGCACCGCCTGATGGGGGGGAGAGTGCTTGGTGGCTTTGGGTGACGTTTCCTCTCTCCTCAGACGCCTTCGACAACGAGCTGATCGTCAAAACGCTCAAAGAGATCACGGAAGGGAAGACGGTCCAGATTCCCGTCTATGACTTTGTCTCCCACTCCAGGTCTAACAGCCGCTCCTGCTTTGCTGGGCCTCTGCTAACGGCCTGCGCCCCGCAGCCCTGCCGGCCCCGGCCCGCCTCCCCCTGCTCCCACCCGCTCTCCGGGAGGCGAGGGTGACGCCTGCCAGGGAGACGCTTGGTGTGCCTGCTTCTAGGTGCCCAGTGTGTCACCCAAGAGCCAAATACTCCAGACCAATTGGTTAGAGGATCCAGGGCAGATTAGGCTCAATCCGGGGGCCTGGAAAGCTGCGCAGCCATATGGTTGCATCCTGCGTGCAGCAACGTAGATGCAGCCGTGGAGGAGGGCTACGGGCCCCCCTTTCCTTCCCCCATCCACCCTCTCTTTCCTCAAAAAAATCTGTTTGCTGCTTTAACTAAGTATTTCGGGCTCAAACACACCAGAACTGCCAGGAGAGGAAGAGGAGGACCTTCTTGCCCCTGTAACTCTCCCCTTGCATGCATTCAGCTTGCTTCTGCATGTTTGCATTGGTCGTGGATGGCCTGGCCCTGCTCCGTTTCCTGCAAAAGTGCTGTGGTGTCCGGGGAGCGCTGCCCAGTTCCCGCGAGGAACCGAGCTGGCCCTCGCAGGTGCCCACGGGTGAAGCCCTGGGCTTGGCTTGTAAGACTTGCAAGCGGCTGCTGGCCGAGGTGGGGGGAGAGGGGCTGGGTCTGCTTCCTGCTCTGCCGTTTGTCCTTCTAGGAAGCGTACGTATGCCTTGGATTCGCTTCGCCGCGGTGGGGTAGGTCTGCTCTCCCCTCGGTCTCCTCCCTGGTGCAGCAGTGATGTCCCAGGGTTGGCGCAGTGCCTAGGAGCACCGTTGCTTCCCCCACCTGCCCTTAGCCTGTTTTCCCTGCCAGCGTATTTTGACTCTCCTCCTTCCCCCTGCTAGGAAAGAGGAGACGGTGACTGTCTACCCTGCCGACGTGGTGCTCTTCGAAGGCATCCTGGCCTTCTACAGCCAGGAGGTGCGGGACCTCTTCCGCATGAAGCTCTTTGTGGACACAGACGCAGACACCCGGCTGTCCCGCAGAGGTGAGGCCCTCGTGTGACCATGCCTGCTGTGGCAGGGGAAGAAGAAATGTCACTCTAACTATCTGGGCACCAGGTTGCTGGGGCAGGCAACAGTGTGACTGAGGCCGGAGCAGAACTGGAACCGATACAAGGATTTGCCAGTGCTAGAAAACAGCTAGAGAGGTTTTTGTCCCTAATTCAGCATGTTGCATTGGGCAGCTCGTAGCAGCGGGGAGCACCTGGCTCTCTGTCCCTTAAGATTCAGTGGGGTTTTTGTTGCCTTGTCTGGAAGCCCTCCTTTGATGCATGCAGCACTGGGCCTGCCGAGTGTGCTGTGTCCTTGCATGGCCGTGTAGGTGCCTGGTGACTCCAGCTGAACAGCAGCTGCTGCCACTCAGCAGGTACCAGCAGGAAAGAGCGCAATGGGCAAAGCAGGGCGACAGCGTGTTCAAAAGGCAGTGCCTGATGGATCTGTTCAGGACCTGGCGTACGGGTGCGCTCCGAGAGCAGCATCTGGGGGTGAGGGTGTTTATCCTGGATGGAGCAGATGAGGAGTTTGCTTGTGCATCTTGCTCTGTGCAAGCACAACCAGTGCAGTGTGGAGCATGTTTTGGTACTTGGCACAAGGGGCTTTAGGGGCAAAGACCCCTGGAAACCAGGACTCCCACTGTCCAGCCAGCTTGGCTGCAGGTTGCCAACTGGAATAGGAAGGACTCCAGCTCTGTGGCTTGAGATCCAGTTCGTTGCTAACTGCAGGATGAAATGTTCAAAGCATCCTTTAGGATTGGGGTCACTGAGGTAACGCCCAAGTGTCTGAGACTTGAGGACTCTTAGGGCAGAATCAGCAGTGTCTGAACCCTCCCTGCCCCTGCTATGGGACATCCGGGGGGCAAAAGATGGCTTAGAGGAGAGCTCCCCTTCACACCTCTGTGCCGTGGCGAGAGGAGCGTGGGTGTCCGAGCTTTAGCCTCAGACTGCTTGTGGGACCGTGCCACTGAGACAAGACTGGTCTTGCCTGCTCCAAGTCCTGCAGCCCTCCTGCTGTCGGACAGGCATACCAGGCATACAGCCTCCTCCACTGCTGGAATGTCATCAGTGCTGATTAAAAGCTGCTTTTTACACATCTCCCTTGACCCTGCCCACTGTTCTTGCATGACTCATCCAGGGAGGTGACAGCACAGTCATTGCAGGCAGACGCATTAGCAGGTCACAGACATGCATTTGCAGGATCCTGCAACGTGAGCCTCATCCTTTAGAAAACATCCTGTGCCATTCAGGAGCTCGGGTTCATGGCCCAGCCAGGGGTAGCCCACGTGTTTGGCAGTGGCCCGCAGCAGCAGGGGAGGTGCTGTCTGTGCCTTTGACTAACACTGCAGTGCAGTGCTGCATGACCGTGCATGGAACTTGATCGCTCCCTGGGGCGTGCAATTCAGTTGTTTCGGGCTTGGTGTATAATCATGGGCTCAGGGCTTGACAACTGGTTGAGATCCCATTGTTTAAAGACTGAGACTATCTGTCTGTTGACTGTGATACAGAGCTAACCCCCATTGTGCTGCAGCTGTTGGATAGAGTCCCAAGCTACCTGGGCTAAAACCAGTCTGGGGGATTTCTCTCAGCCACCATCTATTGCAAAAGCCTTGCAAAGCGGCAGTGGGACTGCTGCTGGCTGGTTGAGGGGCTGGTGTCCCCTGGTTAGGGCAAATCACCGGCAGTCTGATGGGGGACTGACCCTTCGGCAGTCTCCTGGGCTGCCTCCAGCAGTTGCCAGGACCACAGCAGCAGCAAGTCTCCTTACTGTATGTCTCTCTGGAAAGAAGACCTTGTGTGTGAGGTAGTGAAAGTATAATCATGTCCCTGGAACGTAGCTGGAGGCCGTTTATAGCAAGCACAAGTTGGGATCTTGCATTGCGACATGGCCCTGAGTCATTCTGCTCTCCCGGAAGTCCTGGAGAGTTGCAGCAATGGGCTTTTGAGCTGGCCAGCAGCAGGAGATGAAGTTCCTGGGAACGTAGCTGACAGCTCAATTAATCAGCAGCGCCGAGATTCATACACGTAGCTCAGATCATTCTCGGCACCTCTCTCGGCACCTTGCTCCTGCCGGAGTGCAAGGGGCAAAATGAAAGTCTTCCAGATGCCTCAAACAGGGCAGAGCTGTGCAATGCAGAGCAATGCAGTGCTCTGCACCTGCGCAGAGCTGATTCTGGCTAGGGCCCCTCACTACCCTGTGCTGGGACAGCGTCCGTAACACATAGACCGAGTCAGGTGCCGCGTGCGTGTTTTAGGCCTGGTTGGAGTGATGCACACCGGCTGGCTTTGGACAGGAGCTGGTCTGTCCCTGGGGCACTGGCCTGCCCCGCAAATAGAGGGTGAGAGCCCCGGCGAGGGAAGGTGGTCTTAGCGCAGGCTGCTGGCTCTGGCCGTGGCTGAGACCCGTTGCTTTGGGGCCATCGATTTGTGTTCGCGTGGGGAGGTCGTTGCCTCGCTCTGGGCTGCGCTGGGAGCGAGCAGGAGAGCTTTGCCCTTTCCTTTCGGAGCCAGGCCCCGCCACGCGGGAATTCAGCTGGTGCGGCTGGCAGCCGTCCCGCGCGGCATCCCCGGCCGGGGGTGCTGCGAATACACCCTCGCTGCGCCGCATCCCCGCCCCGCAGCCGCCGACAAACAGGGCGGGGGA